TTCAGGGTGAAGCGACCGCCGGGTTCTCCGCCTGTCTTCAAGGCGCGTTACGTGGCTCGTGGCTTCAGTCAGCGACAGGGAGTTGACTACTTTCAGACCTTCTCTCCCACCCCGAAGATGACCACTCTTCGGGTACTGCTGCACGTAGCTGCTCACCGTGACTACGAGCTACACTCTCTTGACTTCAGCACTGCTTTCTTGCAGGGCAGCCTGCACGAGGAGATCTGGCTGCGTCGCCCACCTGGCTTCACTGGGTCTTTTCCTCCTGGCACCCAGTGGAGCCTACGGCGGCCAGTCTATGGTCTCCGCCAGGCACCGCGTGAGTGGCACGGCACACTGAGGACTACACTTGCGGCTCTTGGGTTTGCTCCCTCTACTGCCGACCCGTCGCTGTTTCTGCGCACCGACACTTCTTTGCCGCCGTTCTACATCCTCGTGTACGTCGACGACTTGGTCTTTGCCACAGCTGACACTGCTGGACTAGCCCACGTGAAGTCCGAGCTGCAGAAGAGACACACGTGCACTGACCTGGGTGAACTGCGCAGCTACCTTGGCTTGCAGATCACTCGGGACAGAGCACGCCGCACCATTACCCTGACTCAGTCACACATGGTGCAGCAGGTCCTTCAGCGCTTCGGCTTCACGTACTCCTCGCCTCAGGCCACTCCTCTGCCTACTCGCCACTCGCTCTCAGCTCTGCCTTCGGATGAGTCCGTAGAGTCGAGTGGCCCGTACCCAGAGCTTGTTGGCTGCCTCATGTACCTGATGACCTGCACACGACCTGACCTTGCATACCCTCTTAGCATTCTTGCACGCTATGTTGCTCCTGGGAGACACAGACCGGAGCACATGGCTGCAGCGAAGAGGGTGTTGCGCTACTTGTGCAGTACGTCGGGCATGGGGCTTCTGCTTGGAGGGCAGAGTCCAGTGGTCCTTACTGGGCACGCAGACGCTTCTTGGGCTGACGACCAGGCTACGCGGCGGTCGTCACAGGGTTACACCTTCAGCCTTGGTTCCGGCTCTGTTTCGTGGCGGGCTACTCGCTCGTCTTCTGTTCTCGGCTCCAGTTGTGAGGCTGAGATCTACGCAGGAGCCATGGCTGCACAGGAGCTTCGCTGGCTCACCTACCTGCTGACTGACCTCGGAGAGCTGCCTCGTTCTCCTCCAGTGCTGTACGTAGACAACAAGGCCATGCTGGCCTTGTGTCGGGAGCACAGACTGGAGCACAGAACGAAGCACATTGCTCTCCGCTACTTTCTTGCTCGTGAGCTGCAGCAGCGTGGTCAGCTGCGTCTTGCGTACGTGGCCTCTGAGGCCAACACTGCTGATATCTTCACCAAGGCGCTTGCGCCTTGTGACCATCAGCGCTTCTGTACTCAGCTGGGCCTTGTGCCTACCTTGCCTCACTTGCTCACCTCTTGACCTTGCTTGTGCTGTTACATATATATATACCTGCTCTTGCTTGTCTAGCCTTTATATATATATGTACTCCTGCATGTGAACTGGCCTTGTGGCCTTGAACTTGTGCTCGGAATGTGTGGTGACTTTGTGATCCACCCTGAGCTTGCTTTGCTTTACTCTGCTTGACTGGTCTTGTGACCCCTTGTTCTCCCCCACTTTGCCTATGGGGGTGTGTCAGAATATTATAGCTCATGCATATTGTGTAGGCTATAGTGGGGTAGCCCATAAGGGGTACAACCCAATTAGGGTTAGTACTTGTACCCAATTCATTCATAGTTCATTCATTCCTTGTTTCTTCTCACGTGCCTGCCTGCCGGGCACGCGCTCTTCAACAGTCACGCGCGGCTGCAGCGCGAGGGGTGCCGCCGAGCAGAACTTCGACAGCCGAGGGTCCCTTGGCGGAAATTTCTTCTGAGCTCCGTTTGCCGCGGCGATCGTTTTCCCTGGCGGGAATTGAAGTTTCTCCCGCGTTACCGGGGCTTGAAGTAGTCGCGTTGTCGCGGTTAAGCGTCGAGTTCGCCGGAGCCATATTAGCTAAGTTGCGCTGAAGGATATCGTTTAGGAGTGTTGTCGGGGCTGTGAAGCGCGGAAGGGATTGTGTCTTCGCCAGAGTGACGAGAACGAGAAATTAGAACTACAAATTGAGAAATGAAAACGTGGGTGGGGACGAATGTCCCCACGTCCCTCTTTTGTAGGCAAAAGAGGGTGAGTAGCGCTTCGGCGCTACCTTTGCTGTGTTGGCCACGTACCCCTTTCACAATACAAAATTTTAGAAAGTGTTACATTTCATTACACTTTCAAAAATTATCATATATTTTTTATTGCCAAATCGATATCTATTTATCGTCATGCTATCGCCGAGCTTATCACGGTTCCTGGAGGAGTTTCCTGGGATGCTGTTTCGAGTATGTCAACGGCAGCCATGATCACTCGGTATGATTTTGTCGTCCGTTTTATGGTACGTGTGCTGTCTCTGTGTTCACCTAACTGTGCTGCGTGTTTTGCAGAACCCTCGTTCCGCCCGAAATAAGCTGTTCATGCATGTTACCTACGTACCTGCTGTGTGAATTATCATGCATGTGTTTATATATTGTTAGGTGCTTTTTAGTTAATGGTAAGGTGGACCAGGTATTGTTATTGTGGCTAACATTGCTGTAAGGTTGAGAATAAATTGAGTGGGATTGTAAAATGATGTGATTTAAAACTGGATGCGCCTATATCGGGTGAGCTCAACACGTGCGAAATTCGAAATTAGGTTTTGTCAGGCGTGAATATGTCAAGATAGTGAGTGTAGTAGGAGCTAGGTTTAGGTAGGGCCTAGACTTAGTAGCCTAGGCCAAGGGAGTCGAGAGAGTTTGCGCCAAGAGAGAGGGTCGAGAAAAGTATGATGCAATATGAGAAACAAGTACAAGTTATAGTTGAGGAAGGGTGCACCACCAAGCAAGAACAAATGTATGACTACACTACAGCTAGAACTACATGCAGTTATATATAATTCTGACATCCCCCCGTAACTGCATGCAGGAATAGCTAAGTGAAAGACACAACCTGCAGGGGTACACCACAGACAGAGAAAACAGCAACAGCAGGCAAGGCAGCAGAACAGGTTCGGTAGCAAAGGGGCAGGCGACAGCAAGGCACTTCTGCCACCCCCTTACTCTCCTCCCCCCCCGACCACAGGAGGGGCGGCAGGGAGAGAGAGGAGGCGGGCTGGCGCTGGCTGGTCACCCCCTCCATCCCCTCACCCTCCCCCTCCCCCTCCCCCCCACACTGCTGCAGGATCAGCAGAGGGGGGAAGAGAGGAGAGGTGGAGGGACGGCTGCTGGTTGGTCTCACACCCGCCACCCCAGTGCCACTCCCCCGGCTCCCCGACACCCTCACACCCTCCCCCCCAGCGGCAGCTGCAGCAGTGGGAACGAAAGGAGGAGGAGGGGAAGGGAAGCACACCACCCATCACCCCCACACCCGCCACCCCCATACCCTCCCCCCCACGGCTGCAAGGAGACGAAGGAGGAGGGGGGGGGGGGCGGGGAGAAAGCCGCAGAGCGGCTACAGAGGGTCGGCGCGGGTAGGGCAGGGGCGGCTGCAGCGAGTGCAGGCGCGGGGTGAGGCAGAGGCGGCTGCACCGAGTGCAGGAGCGGGGGCGGCTGCTCCAAGGGCAGGCGCTGGGTGGTGCAGGGGCGGCTGCACCGAGTGCAGGCGCGGGTGAGGCAGGGGCACCGTCGCGGGCGCCAGGGGCGGGTCCACGGCGGCGCAGGGCACCGTCGTGGGCGCCAGGGGCGGGTCCGCGGCGGCTCAGGGCACCGTCGCGGGCGCCAGGGGCGGGTCCGCGACAGCGCAGGGCACCGTCGCGGGCGCCAGGGGCGGGTCCGCGGCGGCTCAGGGCACCGTCGCGCACCACGGGGCACGCGACGGGCAGTTCAGGGCACCGTCGCGTGCCACGGGGCGCGCGACGGGCAGAAAAGATGTCACGCGCCACCCGGGCGCGGGACAGAACGAAAATCGCCACGCGTCCGAGGCGCGCGACCGGAAAAACAGTAGCGGAAGCGTGAGGCGGGCCCACAGGCCAGGACTTAACAGCCTCTAATACCATGTCAAGATAGTGAGTGTAGTAGGAGCTAGGTTTAGGTAGGGCCTAGACTTAGTAGCCTAGGCCAAGGGAGTCGAGAGAGTTTGTGCCAAGAGAGAGGGTCGAGAAAAGTATGATGCAATATGAGAAACAAGTACAAGTTATAGTTCAGGAAGGGTGCACCACCAAGCAAGAACAAATGTATGACTACACTACAGCTAGAACTACATGCAGTTATATATAATTCTGACAGAATACACCATATGAAAGAGGATGCGTTATTCGCTAATCGGGCCCTGATTCCGTGCTGCCCGACGAACGTGCTTTAATTTTCACTGTAGCGCGTACAGGCAGTGCTAAATGTATGCATCAGCAGTCCTTGCCGAACCAGCCGTACGAATCATTGGGGAATCATCGCACGCAATCCCCAAACATTCCTGACACGCGCGTGGATTCCTCTAGATAAACCATGAACAATGTTGCCCTGTATATACTTTCAGCATTCCATTGGCAAACCCTAAACAATGTTTCGCCGGTTTGAATTTTGTTGAGCCCAAGCGCGACTAACGGCGCGAGGCACACGACGCTTAGGTCGCAGGGAGTAGTATCGAGCAGCCGGACCATAGCGCATACGATCTGGACGTCCGGAAGCACGTTCCTTCGCGACAATATCAACGGTAAAAGGACCAACACTGACAGCACTCCAATTGCTGCTACAACAACCACCGGCGCAACCGTCGGCGCTAGAACCTTCGCTGCTGGCTCCACGGATGCTACAACCACGGCGGCGGGATCGGGCTGCGCGGCGTCGGCGCTGGAGGGGTTCGCGTGGTCGGCGGCGCTGGGGTCCAGTCTCACGCTGCATTGGCGCGCAGTGGACTCGGCGCGCCTCGCCTTGGCGCTGTAAGCGGCGGGCGGCAGCGCGGCGGCGACGGGGTGGTTCGCCGTGGGGTGGTCGGCGACGGGCCGCATGGCGGCGTCCGACGCCGTGGTGGGCAATCTGGCGGGCGGCGCCGTCCAGACGGTGTACATGAGCGGCACGGCGCAGAGCGACGTTCAGCCCACAAGCACCTTCGATATTGGCAACGCGCAGCTCGCCACGTCACCCTCGGGATCCACTTTCCTCAAGTAAGACGGGGCGCTGCTTGGAGATGTTGTCGGTTATTTCAGGATAATTAACTTTGCGAAAATGAGGCTTAGGGTTTCGGATTCAGGGTGTAGGTTCAAGTTTTTTTTTCTACTTCTTTTCCTCTCCGAGTCGGACCCACACACTCATTATTCCCTCCCCTCTCATCCCACATTCATTCAATCAGGTTCAACTGCTCGGCGGGAGATGGGTCGGTGGCGGTGAGCGTGCAGGGCAGCAATACGCTCGTGTGGGCGCACTCCGCCGATGGCTCGCAGACGCTCGGCTTTCACGGCGACTATGAGTGAGTGCAGTGCAGACATGGGTGTGAGAGAGTGAGTGCAAACCCTTGGTAATGCATCTCATCTCGGTTTTCCTTTCCCTTTTCCCCGTGTATATTTTTTGTGCTCCTGCTTTTCTGTTTCTCCACTCACATCCTCTCCCACTTTGTCCCTCTCTCCCTCTCCCCCCTTCCCTCCTCCCCCTCTCCCCCCTCTCCCCCTCGCCCCTCCTCCCAGTGGCGCGCTTCAAGTGGACTTCGCGTGCTCCTCTGCCTCGTCCGGAGGGGGAGGGGGTGGCGGCACTGGTGGGGGCATGGGGGGAGGCACTGACGGAGGTGGGGGCGACTATGGGGGTGACTACAACGTGGGGAACAGTGGAGGTGATTACAACGGTGGTGATGATGGCGGTGGTGGTTACAACGGGGGGAATGGAGGCGACTACAACGCTGGAGTTGACAATAATGGGGGCGCTGGGGGAGGCAGTGGGGGTGGCAGCGGCGGGGGGAGTGGTGGCGGTGGAGGGAGCAGTGGTGGTGGGGTAGGAGGTGGGGGAAGGTGAGGCGGTGGGGGGGACTGCAGGAGAGGGCCTGGGGGCGGTCAGGGCGGACCTGGGGGCGGACGTGGCGGGCCAGGGGGAGCTGGGGGCGGGCAGGGCGGACCTGGTGCTGGTGGGGGACAAGGGGGACTTGAGGGCGGGCAAGGGGGGGGTGGGGTCGGCAATGGTGGCGACTACATCAATGGGGGGAGCTACAGCGGCGGTAATGGCGGAGGCAACACAGGCGGAGGTGGTGGTTACTACAGCGTTGGAGGAGGAGGAGGGACCGGTGCTGCTGGTGGCGCCGCTGGTGGCGCTGGGGTTGCTGGTGGTGGGGGCTGTGGGGGAGGGCAAGGGCAAGGCGGGGGACCTGGGGGACAGGGCGGTTCTGCTAGCGGACAAGGGGGAGCTGGTGGGGGACAGGGCGGACCTGGGGGAGGTTCTGGTGGGGGGAGCAATGGCGGGGATTATGGTGGTGGTAATTGCGGTGGTGACTATAGTGGGGGGAATGGCGGGGACTACAACACTGATGGTGACTACAGTGGGGGGAACACTGGAAGGGGCTATGGTGGCGGCAATGGTGGTGATTATAACGGAGGGAGCACTGGTGGTGACTATAATGGAGGGAGCTACAGTGGGGACTATAGCGGAGGGACGGGCGGCAGTCAGGGAGGCCCATCTGGGGGCGGTGTGAGTGGCGGGGGAGGCATGGGCGGCGGAGGCTTGGGCGGTGGCGGAGGAATGGGAGGGGGCGGGGGAATGGGAGGGGGCGGGGGAATGGGAGGGGACGGGGGAATGGGAGGGCCTGGGGGCAGCACGGGCAGAGGAGGAGGGATGAGGGGAGGGGGAGGGATGGGCGGAGGTGGAGGCATGGGGGGAGGAGGCATGGGGGGAGGAGGCATGGGGGAAGGGCCTGGAGGGCGTGGAAGGCGTTGAGGGTGGGTCGATGAGGGGGTGTGGCAGGCACAGCAACTCCTTTTGAAGGTGCTTTGGAAAGCAAAAGCCGGGTGGCTCTAGGGTGCAAGATGATTTAGCTTTGATGTCCCTCAGGGCGGCAGTCAGGGAGGCCCATCTGGGGGCGGTGTGAGTGGCGGGGGAGGCATGGGCGGCGGAGGCTTGGGCGGTGGCGGAGGAATGGGAGGGGGCGGGGGAATGGGAGGGGGCGGGGGAATGGGAGGGGACGGGGGAATGGGAGGGCCTGGGGGCAGCACGGGCAGAGGAGGAGGGATGAGGGGAGGGGGAGGGATGGGCGGAGGTGGAGGCATGGGGGGAGGAGGCATGGGGGGAGGAGGCATGGGGGAAGGGCCTGGAGGGCGTGGAAGGCGTTGAGGGTGGGTCGATGAGGGGGTGTGGCAGGCACAGCAACTCCTTTTGAAGGTGCTTTGGAAAGCAAAAGCCGGGTGGCTCTAGGGTGCAAGATGATTTAGCTTTGATGTCCCTCAAAGTGGCTCCTGATTTTGAGGTACATCAAAGCCTAATCTGTGCAAAAAAAGGTTTCCGGGTCTGAAAAATGTTCTGTAATGTTCTTTGAGAAATTATGCACATGCGTTTTACCTCTAGATCTCTGATTTCGCCAACTTTCAACATCACGTCCAAGCATCCTGTTTTTCAAGAAACAGCAAATGACACTGTTCTTAACAAACATTTACAGTCGTCTGCAAATAGTTTCGCAAAAATTCTCTTGATAGGAACTTTAAAGGGGCACAAATAGTTTTCCTGGTTTGCTGCAGGGACGTGATTTGTATATTTCAGATTGAGGAGTTGGTTACCTCGTTGCTGTTCATTCATGTGTACCTCCCGAACTTCCAAATTTTTAGATGTATGTACTTCACGAATATGTGCGGCGTATATGTTTCTACCTTACATTGCAGCTGTCATCTCTGTTGTTCTGTTATTACGCACCTCACAATTAACCTTACATGGGTATTGGGCTCTTGACGTTTTTGAAGCATGTCATGCCCTCATTCCTATATCACTCACTCCCATATCACTCACTCCCATATCACTCACTCCCATGTCACTCATCCCCATATAAGTCATTCCCATATCAGTCATTCCCTTACCACTCATTCCAATATCACTCATCCCCATATAAGTCATTCCCATATCAGTCATTCCCTTACCACTCATTCCAATATCACTCATTCCCATATATTTCACTCCCATATCACTCATTCCCATCTCACTCTTATCCAAATCCCTCACTCCCGATTCCCTCACTACCAAATTCCTCACTTCTGTATCCCTCACTCCCAAATCATTCTCCCATACTCACTCGTAAACCACTCACTTGCATATCCCTCACTCACAGAACACTCACTCGCATATCCCTCACTCCCAGAAACCCTCACTCCCAAATCCCTCACTCCCATATCCCTCACCCCCTAATCCCTCATTCCCAAATCCCTCCCTCCCAAATCCCTCACCCCCAAATCCCTTATTCCCAAATCCCTACCTCGAATGGTCCTTCGTATCAATAGACACAATGCATACACGCATGCAAGATTGAAGGTGGGGCAAGCATCCAACTCGCCACCCGCCTGGTCCACAAGGGGTCCAAGCGGGGGTTCTAGGATCTGAAATAGGTAACCTTCAGCTAGGGTTTCGATGGTGTCTGCAATCCCAGCCGCGTCCGCCTCCATGGCGGTGTGAGTTTTCAGATTGAGGGCGTTGTCAAAATGTCATATCTTGATAGGCTGTAGTGAGGTGCCCTGTAGTGGGTACAATGCTTAGGGTTTGCCTATTTGTACCCAACTCCCTTTCTTGTTCCTCATTCCGTTGTGTTCAGTCTCTAAGATGGTATCCGAGTAGGTTCCGTTCCTAGCTCCCCGCCCTAGCCTAGCGCCTCCGCGCCTTAGCGCCCTCCGCGCCCTCCGCGCCCTCTGCGCCCTCCGCGCCTTAGCGCCCCCCTAGCCCGGCCGCGCCCTCCGCGCCTTAGCGCCCTCCTAGCCTGGCCCTCGGTTCCATCGCGTGCCCCTCCCCACTGTCGACCGCCCCTCCTCACCGTTCTGCGCCCCTCCCCACCGTCGCGCGCCCTCCCCTCCGCCTCCGCGCCCTTAGCCCGTTGCGCCCTCTTGCGCCCTCTCGGCCCAGCGCCCTTAGCGCCCTTAGCCCGCGCGCTCGCGCCCTTAACCCGCGCCTCCGCGCCCCTTAGCCGCGCCCTTAGCCTCCGCGCTCTTCGCCCGCGCCCTTAGCCTGCGCCCTTAGCCGTGCCCGCGCCTCCGCGCCCTCCTCACCTCCGTGCCTCCGAACCCTTAGCCCGCGCCCTAGCCTCCGCCCGCGCCATCGCCTTAGCACGCACCCACCCACACTCGGTACGCGCCCTCACCACACCACTGCCCTGTTCGCTGGGCCCTACCCACTTCTACTACCATTGGTCTCTCGCTCAGCGGCTGGCAGCCGCTTCTCTCGCCGACCGCCTAGGTTAGAGCCGTGTAGCCGCTAGCTCCTAGCCCCTAGCACTCGTCTCTGGAGTTCCTCACCGCTTCACGCCTAGACTAGGTCGCTCCGTGCTCCTAGCCTCTAGCTCCGCCGGTATCTTACCTCCCCACACCTGGCGCTCCTAGATTTCCCTCCTCGTTCTTATCTCGCCTCCGCCGTGCTCCAGCCGCCTCTAGCATGGCCTCCGTTGTGGAATCCCGTCGCCTTCGTTTCGATGCGGAGGGACGTCCGATCGAGTTCGGTACCTGGCAGCGCCAGACCACGCGCTTCCTCACCAGTCAGCGTCAGGACGGCGCCACCCTGTGGGCCCACGCGTCTGGTGCCCTCAAGGCGCCCCAGTCCCCCGCCCCCCTACCGACCGGCTCGGAGCCGACTCCTGTGGCCCAGGCGGACTACGACCGTCGGGTCCTGGCCAGGGACGTGTGGAACTCGCGTGGCGCTGCCGCCGCTCTTTCGCTAACGGAGCTCCTCCCCCCGACTGAGGCCGCCCACTTTGACAAGGTGGAGACAGCGCAGGGGGTTTGGGATGCTATTGTTGCACGCTATTCCACCCCTTCCTCTGCCTCCCTCGGTCACCTCCTCATGACGTTCGTGTTTCCCGACCTAGGCTCGTTTGCGACTGTGTCCGACCTAGTGACTCACCTCCGCTCACTTGACGCCGGTTTGCGTGCGGCCTGTACCGACGCCCAGCTTCTTGCTGCTCCCCCCCCCCCATGTGGCTCACTGTGCACTGGTTAGTCAACCGCCTCCCTGACCGCCTTGCCACTGCTCGTGACGCGCTTCTCCAGAAGCACCCCACTGAGCTCACTATCGATCTCCTTGAGACCACTCTCGGGACGATCGAGAGCAGCCTCCTCACCGTTGCCTCTGCCACTGACGCGGTGGCCCCCCGTCTCTTTGCGGGCTGTGCCGCCCCTCAGCTCCCCACTTTCACTCCTACCCGCGCTTCTGCTGCTGTGTCGGTTTCTGACGACACTGCTGCCGTTTCTGCCGCAGACTGGCAGAAACGGGGCAAGAGTGGCAAGAAGGGCGGGAAGGGGGGAGGTGGAGGCGGTGGAGGCGGCGGTGGAGGTGGCGGTGGAGGTGGGAGCGGCGGTGGTGGAGGCGGCGGCGGCGGCGGCGGCGGCGGTGGCGGTAGTGCATCAGGACGAGGGGGCCTTGGAGGAGGTGCAGGATAGACAGGCCCGCCCACTGGCGGTGGCCCGACCGGTGGGGGTGTTGGACCCCAGCAACAGCAGCCGCAGCAGCAGCACCAGCCACAGCAGGGACAGCAGCAGCAGCAGGGACCGCAGCAGCAGCAGGCACCGCAGCAGTTCCAGCAGTGGGGGCCCCTGCTGCAGTGGGGTCCGCAGCAGCACTGGGGTCCCCCACCACAGTGGGGTCCGGGAGGACCAGGGAGCACCGGACGCAGCAGCAGTACTTCCAGCTGGGCCCCTCGCCCCCCTCGCCGTGACACTGGCCCCTGCACCCACTGGTGCCTCACCGGACCGGGCAGCCCCTGTCTCTGCGGTCGCGACGATCACTCTGCCGCGCGGTGCTTCCGCCGCCTCGACGACCTCTACCGTGCTCGTTGGGGCCCTGCGGCGACCGCGCCTCGCTGGGCTCGCCTGTTAGCCCGTAAGATTGATGCGTTTGATCTGTCTATGGACGATGCTCGTCAGCATGCTTTGTATGCTGATGTTGACTATAGTGCTGATGGATCTGTGTGCTCGCGTGTTCGTAGATTAGCTTGCTTACCTCCTGCTAGTGTAGACTTGTGCCTTTCTAGTCTAGGTGCTTGTGTTGCTGCTCTAGGTGCTTGTGTAGCCACTAGGACAGGTGACCCTCCGGCTGAGGTGTCCCTGTCCTTCACGCTGGACTCTGGCGCGTCTTAGTGCGTCTTCCGCGACCACACGACCCTCACGCCACTCCTCACTCCTGTTTTGGTAGCTCTGGCTGATCCTACCTCAGGACCAGCCGTTGCGCGTAGCTCCACTACCCTCCCGTGTCCTGTGGTCCCCTCTGGTGTCCTGCGCGGCCTCCACATCCCCTCGTTCACTCGGAACTTGGTGGGTGTTGGATACCTCCAGGACAGGGGGATCACGGTTACCTTTGTGGGGGGTGGGAGGACTGCGGTCTGTACAGACGCTGCCACAGGTGCTGTTCTGGCCACGTTCACCAGGGAGCCCCGCTCCGGTCTCTACGTTCTCCACACCGAGCGCTCCCCGGTTGCGTCCTCCGCTCAGGTCGTTGCATCCCCTCCAGTCCAGGTGTCCAGTCCGGTTGCTGTGTCTAGCCAGGTGGCCGTGTCTAGTCCAGTTGCAGTGTCTAGTCAAGTCGCGTTGTCCAGTCCAGTGGCCGCGTCCTGCTCCTGTCGGTCCCTCACCCACCCGACCGTCTTGTGGCACCACCGCCTTGGCCACCCGTCGATCCCCCGCCTCCGTGGCATGACCACTCACGGGCTTGTCACCGGTCTCCCGCGCACCTTTCCGTCGCTCCCTACCTCCCCTGCTCCCCCTTGCACTCCTTGCGTCGCCGGTCGCTTTCGCGCCACTCCCCACTCCTCCTCCCTTCGCCCGGCCACTGCTCCCTTCGAGACTCTCCACTTGGACGTCTGGGGCCCTGCCCCGACGCAGGGATCTGGGAGGGAGCGTTACTTTCTGGTGGTTGTCGACGACTTCTCCAGGTACACCACAGTGTTCCCTCTCGCGAAGAAGTCCGAGGTGAGTTCTACGTTGATCCGGTGGCTTCTGGCTACTGAGGGCACTCGTGGTCGTCATGTCAGTTGTCTACACTCCGACTGTGGGGGCGAGTTTTGCTCAGGCATTCTTGGCGGATTCTGCGGCGAACAGGGCATCGTACAGTCCTGGACGCTTCTAGAGTCCCCGCAGCAGAATGGGGTTGTTGAG